TGACTTTGTTTAAATGTGGTGCTTCTATTAAAGAGTGATGATGGTTGAAATGGGTTTAGAGGAATTTGTTTTTTATAGTTAGTGTGAAATGTCGAGACACCGTTGGACTCCTTTTTGGGGGGACATTTGGGAGGTGAAATGTATTTTCTTTCGTTAATAATATTCAAGACATTCGAGATACACTACCGTCCAAAAGTTTGGAATCATCTCTCAGTTTTCATCAATACTGAATCTGCTACTAATTTTAAACTTGAGGTTTATCTCAACTCTACATTTATTAATTTATCTCGTATCGATTAATTTGAGTGATAGAAAATTCCAAAAGCTGCTGAATTTTTTCTGCAAATTTTTGTGTAAATTGCAATCCACAGTGATTCCAAACTTTTGGCCGGTAGTGTATATAAAAAATTACGGAAGGAGACTTAAATCAAGTGTTGAGTAGCATGAAGAATAGAATGGAAAAGTGTTCATTCGAACAATTCCTATCGCGTAAGTATCCAACGAGATCTGTTATACTTGAAATTGAAATAATTTTGAAATTATTAGGTGCACAAATTATTTGACCTTTTCCACAAAGTCTTGACGATCGTATCAAATCAAAACCGTCATATTTCTTCCAAGAGAAAATTCCTCAGCAGCTCGATGAATGGAAAAAAGTGATCTAAGACAATAAAGATCATTTCGAACACTAAAATAGTGTTTAATTTTTCGTTCATAAACATTACCTCTATACTTTTTACCTTAACACATTTTCGCAGAGATAATACTTCCAAACGACAGCGAAAGGAATTTCCCAAAATTCATCTATTTAAAAAAAAAGAACTGTCGCTCACATTAAGTCACAAATATACACTACCGGCCAAATGTTTGTGATCACTGTGCATTACAAGTTATACAAAAATTTCCAGAATAAAGTAAGCAATTTGAAGAATATTTTAACCAAATATTTTTCCTCGCTGAAATCAATCGAAGTAAGGTAGAATACTCTAGATCTCCGCAAGATTAATTTCAAATCTATAAAGAATTAGCAACAGATTCAATTTTACCGTAAATTAGCAGGTGATTCGAAACTTTTGGCCGGTAGTGTACATACTGCCCAAATTTCCAAGCAGTACCATCTCTTAAAATTTTCGAACCCAGCTTTTCTCGCCACCGTTCGCCTATCCATATGCATATCATCCCTCCCACTTTCACCCTTATCCTTCTCTCTTCCACGAGCCACGGCCAGTAGTCGGTATATATCGCCTTTAGCGTAATTTTATTATCTTTCTCTCCTTTTCGTGGCAGCGGGTGCGCGAAGCCCTTTTCGTCGCACCTTAGTCTCGTGCTGTTATTTAAGCTGCGTTTTACTTTTGCTTCTTTTTTTTCCATCCTTTTGCCGCCTCCAACTATCCCCACGCTTCCCACCTTTTCATCGCTTCTTCTTCTTCGTCTTCATCCTCCTCTGATTCTTCGTCTTCTTCTTTTCTAATACAGATACGGAGCTTCCCTTTTTGCCACGTTGAAATTATGCAAAGAAGGAGACGATGGCTATCTCCGTGCACGCTTGCTGTGCACCACACTCTTCCTATCCTCTCTTCTTTTCTACCTTCTTTATTTCTTCCCTTTTGCCTTTGCCATCGCAACCACGCTGTGTACATTCAGATGAGGCGGGACGTTCCTAAGACTCGCACCGGATAAGACCGCGCGCTCCTGCAGGTTTGCGCGCGATTCAGAGGAAACGGCCGGCGCGGCGTCTAAGTGGCGGGAATACCGGGTGCCTTTTTCAAGGTAGAAGCTGCCGCGGCAGTTTTATTCCCTTCTTTCGCGCTGTTTTATTTCCCTGCCCCTCCGCCAATGACGTGTTTCGTTTCGCGGCGTGGTGAGTATTAAAAAATTCTTTTGTCCGGGATATATATTTCAGAGAATGCGCTTCCTTAGAAGCTTTCGGTTTGTCCTTGCAAGGTGAAACGGTTGGCTCTGTGTTAACGCAGGGGTGTGAGTAATTTAATTTTAATTTCTTTTCCTTCTCTTTTGGTAATGTAGAGCATAGTGCACTACGTTTGTACTTTTCTACCGTTGGAACAAGCTTTCTGGGTTTAATACTGATTTTAGCGGTTTCGGGATTTCCGCGTGGAATTTTTTTCAAGGGTTGTTGGGATTTTTTCTCGTTTCTGGGCTTGCTAAAATACTTGTGAATCTTAGGTTCGAATTTGGAAAAATTGAATTTCTTAAAATTAGCATTTTTTCAGATACGATTGGTTAGAGTCCTTGTAATTTGTGGAAGTTGAAATATTTATGAATTTTTGGTTCCAATGGAAAGCTATGCATTTATGGTTTCATTCAGGAAATAGTAAAATTGTATTGCACGGAATGGAGAAAAATTTTGATTTCTCGATATAAGAATTTTTTTCACATATAAATTAATTAGAATTCTTATAATTTTGCATAAGTTGAAATATTTGTGAATTTTATTGTTTCGTTCGTAAACACGTTGACTGCTAATCCTATTTTGAAGAAATCTGTTCAAGACGCCAACATTATGCGTAGAACAGTGTTTTAAAGCGTATCATAATTAAAATTTGCTCTTATTGCCTTGTTTACTTTCATTTTCTTATATTTTGATAATCTTGTAAAAAATAACAAATAAATCCTTTTTATGACGCCTGTTTGTTAGTAACGAACCTCTAACAGACGCCCATCCTGCAGAATTCCTATGCGTTTACAACGTGTTAACTCGTGGTGGGCACCGAAAAGCTGTACTGTAAAAACGAGATAACTCGTGGTTGGCAGTTAACTCTTTCGTGACCGAATAATTTTACGAAGAATTATTTCTTTACCCGTCGATCGTCGCGTCTGCAATGGATACTAAATGGAGATTAATTTTTGTGAGAGTATTCAAGCGATACATATGCGTCTCACTGGTCACAAAAGAGTTAATACAATTTTTTGGAGAAGTGGAGAAATTTTGAATTCCTTAAAACAAGGATTTTTCTCTGATATAATTAGAATCCCTATAATTTTCTACTCGTTGAAATATTTCGAAATTTTAGATTCGAACGAAAATCTAGTCATTCGTCGTTTCATCCGTGAAACAGAAAAATCGTACTGCACGAACAGCAGAAAAATTCTAATTCCGCAAAAATACAATTATCTACATTTCGCACGGCACTCTGCAGCGAATGATAAGCATTGATAGCAAATTCTATAAATCTCATTGTACGTGCACAGCGAAAGCTTTTTTTAATCTCCGTGTATGAAATAATTGATTCATAAAAATGTGCACAGACGATGAAAGATTAAACGTTAATCCGTTTTCACGGGAAAATAAAAGCGACAAGGGTCGAACAAAAGGGTTTCAATAGATCCTTACGGCGAGCGGTGCATTTAAAGGGCGAGAGAATGAAAGATAATCGTTCTATTATTAAATGCAGGTAATACTTCGTGTAAAACATCGTTTGCCGGAACAATTATATTATCATACCACATTTCCCCTCCGCCCCACAGTACTAATACAATATCGGTGGAAATAAATGAAAAATGAAACACGCAGAAATACAGTAGCTATTGTAGAAGTTTGCTGCAACGTGCCTACGAGATTCGTTGTATTTCGTGTAAGATATATTCCTGTCGTGACAATGTAGTAACACGAATTTCGAAGCGTGCCTATTTTGAATATCGCGGGTAGGGAAACAAGTTACAAAGTTCGCATGTGTGGAATCGTGTTGAATACATTACACGTACGAATGTACATCGCGTGATGCAACTTAATTTACAGCTCTATATAAAAGCAGCGAAGAAAACAGGCTTGACGGAGTTGTTTAAATGTTTTTAAAACGTTAGGCAGGGAGTAATTACGAGTCTTGGGAAATTTAGGGGAACTACTTTTGGATTTAACGTGTTTTCGGTGTACTTCAATGGACAATTAAAATATTATTTATGTTACAAGTTTGTTCAGATGATTGTTAATTTTATCAATTCTGGCACAGTGAATTCTGTTGTAATAATGTGTAGTGTAATAAAGTAATCAAAATTTATATACGTTTGGTATTGTATAACTTTATCAGTTAACTTTGAAAATTAATTTGAAAATTTTTTCTGTCATGAAAATTTCACAGAACGCTATATTCTCACACTTAGAAGTTATCGTAATATTTATTATAATGAAATAAGAAAAATTCAAATATATTTGGCACTGATTAACATTATCAGTCAACTTTGAAAATCAATATGCAAATTTTTCCTATCACAGAAATTTTACTCATATATCACAAACATCCCAAAACGACCATAAGAATCACAAAAGAACCTACTTCACAGCGAAACGTCCAAATCACAACTCGAATTAACGTTTAAAACCGAATCTCTATCATTCGTGGAATCGCTGAATTTATTTCTATCAAAAGGTCATAAATAAACGACCTTAATTATTATCACACCGGAGCGGGGTTAATCAGATCGATAATTGTGGACAACGATGAATCGCGTCGCGTTCCGAGGTGCGAGAATCTCTAAAAAATATTTATCATGATAAAATAATAAAAATTCAAATATATTTGGCAGTGAATAACTTTATCAGTCAACTTTGAAAATCAATATGCAAATTTTTCCTATCACAGAAATTTTACTCATATATCACAAACATCCCAAAACGACCATAAGAATCACAAAAGAACCTACTTCACAGCGAAACGTCCAAATCACAACTCGAATTAACGTTTAAAACCGAATCTCTATCATTCGTGGAATCGCTGAATTTATTTCTATCAAAAGGTCATAAATAAACGACCTTAATTATTATCACACCGGAGCGGGGTTAATCAGATCGATAATTGTGGACAACGATGAATCGCGTCGCGTTCCGAGGTGCGAGAATCTCTAAAAAATAAGACGAAGCTCAATGAGCGGGTATCAGCAGAATCTATCGTTCGACTAAAGAAGATAATCTTCGGCGTGGGGTTGGAGAGATAGATCTCTACCCGGTGAAAGTACCTGGGGAAACGATATTAGGGCGTACTCACAGTGCACGTGCAGCATCATCCGTTTGCTGACTGCTGGTGGTACTCCGTTAGTCGCGATGCATAGGTAGGTGCCCATCTCGCTTCTGGTTACTTTGGACAGAGTCAGCGTTTCCCCCTCGGCGGTAGCTACTGCAAAACAGAACCAGACGAAAAGAATTTCAAAATCCAGTGGACCACTCTAACGTAGAATTATTAATATTGTTTTCAAAGATTGTGAAAGACAATTGCAACTATGTTCAATCTTTTCGCCTATGAAAGATAATTGCAACTATTTTCAACCTTTTCGTCTACGAAGGACAATTGCAACTATGTTCAACTCTTTCGTCGACGAAGGACAATCGCAACTATTTTCAACCTTTTCGCCTATGAAGGACAATTGCAACAATGTTCAACCTTTTCGCCTATAAAAGACAATTGCAACAATGTTCAACCTTTTCGTCTATGAAGGACAATTGCAACTGTGTTCAACCTTTTCGTCTACGAAGGACAGCTGCAACTATTTTCAACCTTTTCGCCTACGAAGGACAATTGCAACAGTGTTCAATCTTTTCGCCTATGAAAGGCAATTGCAACTATTTTCAATCTTTCTGCTCGCGAAGGACTATTGCAACTATGTTCAACCTTTCCGCCTATGAAGGATAATTGCAACTATTTTCAACCTTTTCGTCTATAAAAGACAACTGCAACTATTTTCAACCTTTTCGCCTATAAAAGACAATTGCAACAATGTTCAACCTTTTCGTCTATGAAAGATAATTGCAACTATTTTCAACCTTTTCGTCTACGAAGGACAATTGCAACAATGTTCAACCTTTTCGTCTATGAAGGACAATTGCAACTGTGTTCAACCTTTTCGTCTACGAAGGATAATTGCAACTATTTTCAACCTTTTCGTCTATAAAAGACAACTGCAACTATTTTCAACTTTTTCGCCTGTGAAGGACAATTGCAACTATGTTCAACTCTTTCATCGACGAAGGACAATCTCAACTATTTTCAATCTTTTCGCCTACGAAGGACAATTGCAACAATGTTCAACCTTTTCGCCTATAAAAGACAATTGCAACTATTTTCAACCTTTTCGTCTACGAAGAACACCTGTAATTATTTTCAACCTTTTCGTCTATAAAAGACAATCGTAACTATTTTCAACCTTTTCGTCTATGAAGGACAATTGCAACTGTGTTCAAACTTTTCGTCTACGAAGGACAACCGCAACTATTTTCAACCTTTTCGTCGACGAAATGTAACTGCAACTATGTTCAACCTTTTCGTCTACGAAGAACATCTGCAACTGTGTTCAACCTTTTCGTCGACGAAATGTAACTGTAACTATTTTCAACCTTTTCGCCTACGAAGAACAGCTGCAACTATTTTCAACTTTTTCGCCTATGAAGGACAATTGCAACAGTGTTCTATCTTTTCGTCTATGAAAGGCAATTGCAACTATTTTCAATATTTCTGCTCGCGAAGGACTATTGCAACTATGTTCAACCTTTCCGCCTATGAAGGACAATTGCAACTATTTTCAACCTTTTCGTCTATAAAAGACAACTGCAACTATTTTCAACCTTTTCGCCTATAAAAGACAATTGCAACAATGTTCAACCTTTTCGTCTACGAAGGACAACTGCAACTATTTTCAACCTTTTCGCCTGTGAAGGACAATTGCAACTATGTTCACTTCTTTCGTCGACGAAGGACAATCGCAACTATTTTCAACCTTTTCGCCGATGAAGGACAATTGCAACTTTTCTTTTACTCTTTTAACACCAGACAGAGCAAAATGACCTATTAGCAACTTTCCAAGAAGAGGTGAATTTTTGTAATTGACAAGTATTATCGTTTGCAACTTTCTAACTTTGTTTTTCTCGAAAATAAGTAGATACATATGTGACACCTCGGGGTCGTTTTCTGCTTTTGTCGCTGAGTTTCCATTCCCTTTGATTTCAGCGCATTTGTGCTTACGCGTTTGAAGCGTCCTAATGCGAAATTTGCAATTAATTTATAACACTATTTTCTAGTTGTTTCAGTTATAGTTTCAGTAATAGTATCTATAAACAAGTATATATTTTTCATTTTTGCTATGAAGGGGTTTCGCTGATTTACCAACGAAAATCCTACAGTTTTCTGTCGATGAGAGATCTTTTAGTCACGTTTTATGTTACACAGAAATTCACTTTTGGAACGTTGGTAATAGGTCAACGAAAATCCTACAATTTTCTGACGAGACAGATCTTTTAACCACGTTTTAAGTTACATAGAAATTCACGTTCGGAACGCTGCTAATAGGTGATTTTTGACCCGACTGGTCTGTCTACTGTTAAAAGAGCTACTTCTATTCGAACAGAATTTTGAAGTTCAGCTGATTAGTTGCCATCGAGAGTAAGAATGGAAAGGGAATGAGATCGAGCTGGGATAAGGGTAATGTTATTTGGTTGGAAGAATAGAGTGGAGAGAGGAAAAGAAGGTTGAATGGTTGCTGCAAGGTTTGTTTTCTACGTAAGTGCAACGATCTGTGAGGTGCAACTGCGGCGTTTCACTCTTTCGAAGAAGCTATGTGCTATACAGAAAGCTTAGGATGAGAGATTGTACGAACGTCTTCTAAATAGTTCCTTTTTATCTTTCTACTTTATCTATTTTACTAACTAACGTGAATATTGTTGATTTTCTGATAGGAAAAGTTCATCGAAATTTTTTAACTCAAAGATCGAAATACTTTTTTGAAAATTAATTACAAATTAAGTTGCACCTGCAAAAAATTGCATACATTGAAATTACAAGAAAGAAATCTGTATGGTCCATTCCATTGAGTGAAACACTTTACTTGAAATATTAACCATTTTTATGCAAAAATTTCAATTCACAATGATCTTCTTAATTTAGTTCTATTATACATAACTGTGTGCTAAAATCGTATAAAGAATCGATTACATAAATTTCTGCCTTCCTCTCTAGAACGAACACATTTATTCAAAGCACTTCAATAAGTTACATAATATCTTCAATAGCTTACTTAAACTTCGCTCAGACATTCAACTGGTTTAATTGTAGATAACTGTAAATGAGTTGCATTCAGAAGTGCGCGTAATGGTTCTAAGCGACAATAGTATGCTGGATAAAACGAGCTCTATTCAAAATTCACTTGAATAATTCAATTTCGCCGTTTCGGTTCTGCATAAAGGGCTTCCGGATAAAATCGAACGAACATCAGATATTTTATATTTAAATACGACGAATAAATTCAAGGACATATCGAAAGTTACACGCTATTTTTCCTCATATAACGAAAGAGAAAGAATATTTCCTGGATTATCAGAAAACAAAGGAAATATTTTTTTAATTTTCTCACTTTGCCAATTATTTTCGATTCAAAGACATCAGTATTATCGATACTTTCACGTTTCGTAAAATTTTCTAGACCAAAATTGTTTGGATGAAAATTTTCACATTTCAGATTCTGTAGGATATCGAACAAATCGGAAATTTCACTTTTCAATTTCAATAAAATTTCAGGAAATTTATAATTAAAATTGCGATGCTTGAGAACGTAACTGGATGCCAACGAAAAGCTACTTATACGGTTGAATCGCGCGGTACTCTCGAGTAAATAATCGAATTGGTTCAATTACTAATCAAACACGCTGGATTAGGTACGATGCGAAGCTTAAGGTCCCGCTGTCGTCCCTTTCAATTCAACATGTCGATACTATTCGCTCGAGTTCTCCATGAAGTGTAAGCGAACACCGTAGAGTGAAAATTTAGTTTCACCTTCGCTTGAGAATCAGCGTTCCTTGACGGTGCAGGAAATTCTGTTGCAAGAGGTTGACGCATCGCCGCGTTTAATACATGCTGCTCTTATTTCAGGTGAAAATCAATTCTGAGGACGCGCAGGTGTAACGTCGATGGAAAAAATACGAAAAGAAAATTTACCGTGGATTAGACAAGAATTCTTCCGTTTTGTTTCATATGTATATTCTTTTTTTTCCCTATTTTAATTATATTTTCTAATTTAATAATTATGTT